TTTTTTTTTTTTTTTTTTTTTTTTTTTTTTTTTTTTTTTTTTTTTTTTTTTTTTTTTTTTTTTTTTTGTTATAATGACTTGGTGAATAGTGACATAAAAATTTATTTATTATTTAAAATTAATATATTTATAAATGTAATTAATATATTTATAAATTAACTCTAATTATAATCAAAGTACAATTTGATACATTAGTGATAAAAAAATATACTTTTTTTTTTTAACAATTCTGAATTTCTTTCATAAATTTTTATAGTAAAATGATATAATGAAACTTTTATAGTAAAATGATATAATAAAACTTTTCAAGATATAGCAGTAAATTAATTGTCTAAAAAGAAATAAGCTTGGAAGATTGTTTCGGTCTAAAATAAAAATTCTTTTATTCGATTACAATATATTCCCTTGTTCTGTACTTTCTTTTGTCAATTGAATTGAATCTATTACATTTTTGTTCATATTGAAATGAATCGGAATTGATAAGGAGTTGGTCAATCATGCTCGAACATGTACTTATTCTAAGTGCCTATTTATTTTCTATCAGTATCTATGGATTGATCACGAGCCGAAATATGGTTAGGACCCTTATGTGTCTTGAGCTTATACTGAATGCAGTTAATATGAATTTTGTAACATTTTCTGATTTTTTTGATAGTCTTGGATGATGAAAGTCCCACATCGGCTAATTTAGGGAATGATCATGGGTTTATAAGTGAGAAATACTAACTCCATTGATATGAGATCTTTATGCTCAAAGTGGACAATATCATATCATTGTGAAAAGTCCGTCTAACAGTCGCCAATTTATAAGTCGAGTTAGACAAACTCTTGGTTTGGATTGAGTTGAATTTTTAAAAAATGAACCAATTTAATTTTGTATGAGTTTTAAATTTTAGGATTCCTCCTACGATATTTGTTTTCAATTGTTTATTGTATGTCACAACCATTTAATATCGACCTTTCTTATCTTCGTCACATCATCATCTAGCTTTACATCTTTTGCTCATTTATTGTTGTTCATTGTTGTTTCTCATCTCTTTCTTATCTTTGTTGTGCTACTATTAAGTCGTCATCACACGTCCAATGATTTTTTGTTTGTCCTACCATTTGTATCACCAACGATCATCACACTCTACTACTCACCCATTTTTCATTGTCCAGCCCTCGCCGTACATCTAACCATTCTTTATTTGTTGGTTTTAGTTGTTGTCAATCGTTTATCATTCTCTCTTGCGTTCTCTTAGCCGGTAATAGTTTTACCATCTATTGTATAGTTAATCCGTTAGACCCGAACTTGATCCAATTCTAACCATGTACACCGATAATATTTGATTTGAGTGGGCCAAGACAACATGACAATTTATTATGGTGAAGAAAAAAGATAACAAGAAACTTTGACTTTGACTTTTTTTTCTTTTCTTTCTTTTCAATTTTAAATTGTTAAATATATGAAAGAAAAAATTATAAAAATATTTCAAATTTATATCGGGTGTCCAACAATTATATCATATTACATAGTGATAACCAACATAGATTAATTAAATAAAAATAGATTAATCAATAAATACATTATTTAATTTTTAGGCTAATTAAAAAAAAACAATCATAAACTTTTATCTCGTGGATAAATATTTCAAAATTATTATTGGAATAAAAAAGATAATAATTATTGAAAAAAGAACATATTTAAATGTTATTTTTTCATATTTAATCTAAATAAATATTGTAATCATCGTTACATTATTTCATTTCATGTCATTATGATGTTAACTTTTCGACCTAACATTGTATTTAAATAAATATAACACCGTCAAAATTTTTGAAAAAAATGAGAGTATTTTTTATTTTTAAAACATGTGTCAAAATTGAAAGGACATCTTAAAAGACAATTTATAAGTAGAATATTATTAAATATGATTATATTTATAGTACATTTTTATTAGATTAATAATTAAAATATTGAAGAAAAAAAATCAATTATTATATTAAATAACTTCATTAAAATTTATAATACGCCATTAGACTACAACGGCTCTTCCCGTAATACCAGGCTCACTAAAATAATAATAATAATAATAATAATAATAATAATAATAAAATAAATAAATAAAGCCACCTGGTATTACAAATTATGCTTTTATTTTAATACACAGAAGGGTATACTCGTCAGAGTGAATTTCAACGTCTTTTTCAAATATAGCCGTTAGTTTCCATATTACGAACTAAGCTATTTTTTTTTTCCTTATTTTATTCCCAAGCGCAAGTATATATGATCTCACGAATGACTTTGAATTACAATTCAATCTTCAAACGCTCTCTATTCATCGCTCACTCTCACTGCGCTCTTCAAACGCTCTCAACGATTAATCGAAACTTAATTGTTTTTTTTTTTTTTTTCTGATATTTGCTTCTTGATTTCTGCTTTCGATATTCTATTTTTGTGGATCTTACGAATTTCTTTGCAGGGTTTCAAAGTTTTTATCTTTCTCTGTTTTTTCTGTTGGATATTGTGTTCTTGTGTTATTCTTTTTTGGAAATTTACGCTATGGATGCAGCATCTTTGAGTTCTTCTAATGCTGGTCGATCGCGCTGTCCCCTGCAAGAACAGCATCTCCAGAAAAAGCATTCCCGAGAAAATGTAAGTGTTCGTTCGTAATTGTAGTGATTGAAATCAATTAGATGAAGATGAACGATTTGCTTATGTGAAATTGTTCTGAGTCGATGAATTAGGTTTTGATTTCTGACTCTTTTCAATTACAGTTGGATAGATTTATTCCGAATCGATCGGCGATGGATTTCGATTACGCGCATTACATGGTGACTGATGGGAGGAAAGGTAAGGAAAATTCTTCAATTTGTTCGCCCTCAAGGGAGGCTTATCAGAAGCGTTTGGCTGAGACGTTGAACATGAATCGAACTCGGATCCTTGCGTTCAGAAACAAACCTCCTGCACCAGTTGAGTTGATCCCCAAGGAGTTCTTCTCCTCGGGTTCTAACGACAAACCTGTCAAGGCCCGCCGCCATATCCCCCAGGTGAGTTGCAGATCAACTGTTTGATAATATGCCTCAATGAATGGGTGAATTTGATTGAAGAAGAAAAGTCATCAATTGGGTTTATTTTTCTGTTGTAGACCTCTGAAAGGACATTGGATGCTCCTGATCTTGTTGATGATTACTACTTGAACTTGTTGGATTGGGGCAGCGCCAATGTGCTTGCTATTGCTCTTGGCAACACTGTGTATTTGTGGAATGCAAACGATGGCTCTACTTCAGAACTTGTCACTGTTGATGATGAAGTTGGTCCTATCACTAGTGTCAACTGGGCACCTGATGGACGACACATCGCTATTGGGTTTCATAACTCTGAAGTGCAGCTCTGGGATTCAACTGCTAACCGACAGGTAATCTCTCGCATTCTGCTAAGGAAGAAATTAGAAAAATAACAAATGGGCTGACGCCACAAATTCCACCCAAAAACCATATTTCGCTTGAGCCTCAACTATATCAACTGTACTCGAACCTATAGACAGTCATAGTCGGTAATAACATCACTGTTCTCATCGCTATTACAGATTATACATGATATTTTCACCTCATACGGCTCCTTGAGGGCCCTAAATTATCTATAAAAAAGCTTATCGGTTATTTATCTTAATATGTCTTTTAAGTTTCTTTTTTTTTTTTTTTTTTTTTTTGCCC